AAGACCAAAACCCACCATGACTAAGGCCCTCAGGCTGGGTGGTCGCTTGTTTAGAACATTCCTTGGGATGGGCAGGTTGGTCGAAGACCTCCTGCTTAGAACATTCCTCGGGGTGGGCAAGTGTGAAGACCAAAACCCACCATGACTAAGGCCCTCGGGCTAGGTGGTCGCTTGTTTAGAACTATCCTAGGGATGGGTAGGTTGGTCGAAGACCTCCTGTTTAAAACATTCCTCGGGGTGGGAAAGTGTGAAGACCAAAACCCACCATGACTAAGGCCCTTGGGCTGGGTGGTCGCTTGTTTAGAACACTCCTCGTGGGTGGGCAAGTGTGAAGACATAAAGCCCACAATGAAGACCGTATAACCGGGTGAGAAAACTTGGAGTAAAGAGCACCAGAATTTGCACAACTACAAGACCAGAGGACGAACACAAAAGGTCGAGCGTAAAAGAGAAGTCGAATGGCGCAGAAAATCCATCATGTTTAAGACCACGAGGCTGGATGGTCGCATGTTTCGACCACCTCCAGGGGTGGGCATGTGTTCAAAAATTTAAAACCCATCATGTTTAAGGCCACGAGGCTGGATGGTCGCATGTTTCGACCACCTCCAGGGGTGGGCATGTGTTCAAAATTTTAAAATCCATCGTGTTCAAGGCCACGAGACTGGATGGTCGCATGTTTCGACCACCTCCAGGGGTGGGCATGTGTTCAAAACTTTAAAATCCATTATGTTTAAGGCCACGAGGCTGGATGGTCGCATGTTTCGACCACCTCCAGGGGTGGGCATGTGTTCAAAAATTTGAAATCCATCATGTTTAAGGCCACAAGGCTGGATGGTGGCATGTTTCGACCACCTCCAGGGGTGGGCATGTATGTATGTGTGTATGGTACGACTAAATTATTCAAGTGATCGTGAGGCAAACACACAAATATCACTTAAACAACGATGAATGGACCGACTAATGAAAGCGTGTCATTCATATACCAAAGTTCGCAACAATCATACTCTGAAGTCCGCTCTGGTTTTCCCATCGAGGAGTTATGACAAAGGTAACAAGTCGAATTATTAAGAGCATTATTGAAGATCAAGGCAAGTCAAAAACAAAATATCACCATTTCACGAATATCGCACAGTTCATTGGAATACACAATTCAGATTCAAAACAGACAAAATGGAAAATATAAAGCTAAATCTAAGGAGAAGGAGTTGCGGTCGAATCGGCGTTGCTCTGATTAGCGTTAAGATCGGGTGGATGGCTGGTTCCGGAGGTCGAGTCACAAGCTTCATTAAGTGGACGCTGACGTATAGACTCGGTCAGCACGGCTAGCATTGAGGCAGGAGGAGTGAGACCATCGGGCATAGCATAAGTCTTCTTTAAAGTGTCCGATCGAGCCAGAGTCCTTTCGAGCAGTCCTGACCACCACTCGTGCTCAAGTGGTAAGTTGGGATTGCCCTGGAAGCTAGAAGGGACCTTGGACAAGGCCTCCCAGATAGCCCCAGGGTCGAGCTGCTCGAAGTCTTCCTCGGCGATCTGCTCGCCAGCCTTCTGAAGGGCGAACTGAAAGCAATTCATACCAAAATCTTGCACCTCCTTCAAAAAATGTGGTGACCATGTGTAATCGGCCACCACTTGATCGCGGTACTCTCGGAGGAAGAGCTGCCCAGTGG